GTGACGACGGCCGCCGACGTGGACGCAGCCGTGAGCGCCGAGATGACCGCGGCGACCGGAGGGGCCGCGGCGATCGCCAGGGAAACGGGCAGTAGCCGCGTCAGTGGGCGTGACCCCGGCTCCCCGTGCCCAACGCCCAAAGCAGGTGACCACACAGAGTTTACCCGAACGTGTCTCCTGGTTGGTCCCCGGGACCCTGGCAGGGCGGCAGACCCGCAACGTGCTCGACTGCGGTGCGGAGTACACCCTGGTGCGCCGAGGCCTCATCGCGCTCGACGCTGCGGAGACTCTCCCCTCCATCAAGGCCGACGGCGCGTTCGACGGAGCGCCGAGCAGCACGCTTAGCGGCCCCCACCTGGTCACCCTCACCATCCACGGCGTGGCCCTCACCCAAAACGTCTTCGAGGCCGACATCCACGAGGAGTGCCTTCTGGGTGCGGACTTCCTCGCCAACCATGTCCTGCAGTTCAACCCGCAGGCAGACGAGCTATTTCTGCAGGGACCAGACGGGCCGCGCCGTGTGCCTCTCACCAGGGTGACGAGGCCCTCCACAACCATCACGGCCACGCTCCGCGTCTGCGCCGTGGAGGCCGGCGTCTCCATCCCGGCCAACTCCGAGACCTTCGTTAGGGTGAGGGTGAAGGACTGTGACGATTGGGGCCGTCGGGTTGATGAGGAGCCAGCTGGGCGACCTGCTCCACGGGGTGCTTCTCCTCGGGGTGAAATGGCCAGTCACCTCGCTGGAGAAGGCGGTGGTTGCCACGGTCGTTCAGCTGCGCGTCCACAATCCGCTTCGGTTAGCGCCTCGTCCTGCACCCTTGCCAGCGCCGGTTTTCCACCTCACGGTGGCGGCGAGGGAGCTTCATGCTCGGTGGCGTATCGCCCGAACAGGGGCGGCTCGCCCGAAGTCAACAGGAAGGCTTCGGCCTGGGGGCGGTTCGCCCGAAGTCATCAGGATGGCTTCGGCCTGGGGGCGGTTCGCCCGAAGATGGGGGCGGTTCGCCCGAAGCTGGTGGCGGTGCGCCCGAAGTTGGTGGCGGTTCGCCCGAAGACTGACGCGGACGCCTCAACTCCAGCGGACATCCTGCCCCCCACGGCCTTCACGACGCACGACGACGAGACAGCCCGCGTGAGCCGTACAACTTGTGTGCCCCTGTTTGACACTGTTCCCCCAGGCCTTGAGGTCACGAGTAGCCTCCTCCTGGATGATGCCGGCCACCTTGTCGTGCGGGTGCGCAACCGCCGCCACGCCCCGTTCTTTGTGCGGAGGGGGAAGTGCCTGACGGAGCTCCACGTTGCCACTCTTGGCGACGTTCGTGCGGCGGCGCTGGCGTCAACGCCGTGCCCGCCGACGCCTGGACAGCTCCCGGAACCTCTCCAAAACCTCCTGGACGCCTGCTCATCCAGCTTGACACCCCATCAGCGCCGAGAGGTGGAGGTGCTGCTCCAGGAGTTCCGGGACGTGTTCTCCTGCTCTGGGGAGATCGGGCATTGCACGGCGGTCGAGCACAACATCGACACAGGTAACGCCGCGCCCATCAAGCAGG